AGTATTATAAATTTTTTTTTTGTATTTTAGCAAAAACCAAATTTTGCTTATGTATACCTTAACATAAAATGTTATTACATAATTATTTTAAGTCTAGAAAAATGCTTGATTCTAAGAGTATTGATAACTGCCAATTCTCGCAGGCATTATTAGTTAACAATATGGAAGCTTCAATTGGTTACGACAAATCTGATGTAGATTTGATATATGAAATTATGAATAATAAACAATCACATATAGAAGCTTTAATAGATTCATCAATAGATTCTTATGAATCAAATGTGGAAGATTCTGTATTAGAAGATATATCTTCTAATATAGAAGCTTCAATAGATAGTGGTGAATCTTATAAATCGGGTGTAGAAGATTCAACAAATAATGTGTTAGAAAATATGTCTTCTGAATTTAGAGAGTTTGATAGCGAATATGGACATATTTTCCAAACTTTACATCTGCGATGATATTTATCTGGATTACGAAGCATATGATTTGTAAGTAACGTTAATCAATATTTGAGTCAAAAATTTTTTTAATTTTTATTAACAGTTAATATATGTGTAGCAACCTCTGCGTATGAAGATCTTGTAAAGATCCTCACTTATTCTGAGTATTAAAAAGAAGATGTTGCTACAAACATCCAGCAGATTCAGGAATGGAGAAATAGGTTGCCTTTAGTCAAAACATGCCAACATAACGTACCTCTCTGTATGAACTGAACTCCATCAACTTATGAAACTATAAAAAAAGCATTCACTATTTCTCCGTTAACACACTTAGAACGTGTTTTAAACAACTCAGTGCTCATGTCAAAAATGTATTTTGGCCCTGGTGTTGTTACGAATAAAAAGCGAGAATTTTGGCATGGGAATTATGGCAGGATTCATTATTGTTTGGTGAATACAAAATAAAAAGTAATGATGATAAAGGTTTGTTTTATCAAATTTATCAAATCTATTGTTATATAAAAATAAATAAATAAAATAAATAAATAACTTGTTGTATTGTTTATTAGAATTATACAAAGCTGAAGATTTTTTGATATATTATAAATGTGTATTATTAGTTATATGTCGAGTACATAGAGTGGTAGTAGATGAAATGGATAATAATCGGTATAAGTTAAAAGTTGATCAAGCTCTTTTACACGAAGACCTTCCTAATATCCGTTCTACTGATAATCGGCATGTTCGTGAAGATGAAAAAAATTATGGTTAATTGAAGGAAAATCAATATTGATTGACCCTGCAAATATAGAAAGATATATTAATGTTTGGTTGATTGACATGCCAGAGCCTTTAGAGTACGAATATTTTATTAAGAAGATCGTATATCGTTTCAGCGGCAGATGGAAATACCGTAGCATAAAACTGCAACATAGATTGCCTTGCGAAAATGTTACACTTATATCACCACCACAACACCTGCCCATCCTAAAGATTTTTCTTGATATTTATGTCGACGATTTTGGTACTTACAGAAATGTGTACCATTTGTTAGGCGGTGTTTATCTACAATTCGGCAACATGCCATTAGATTTTCGAAAACAATTAAAAAATCATTTTTTAATTAGTTTCGTTCCATTTGGGGCCACTTTCGATGATTTTATTAAACTAGTTATTCAAGATGTAAAACATTTGGAAAATGGTTTTATTATAAAAACTTTAATTAGTGATGCTTGGGTCATGGGTGGGGTTGGATGTATTACATCTAACCTGCCACAAGGAAATGATTTGGCTGGTGTTAAACGGCATGGCGCAAGTCATAGTTGCCGAACCTGCAATGTGTCAAATGATCAGTATACTAATTTTGATTATAATTATGTACAAAATGCTCATTTTTACCAGCAAACAAAAGAATGGTTTATAGAAATTGAAGGTCAACATTCTAAAACTAACAAGGACCGATTAGGAGTTGAGTATGGTCTGGCTAAGCTGGGACCATTAAAGACACTTAAATGGTGATTAAAATTTTTTTTTGTTAAAAGTTAAACTATATATAATATATATCTTTTATATATATATTAAGGGATTGGCATATCCAAACGCCGCAAAATGTATACCACTCCATGGCTGAAAAAGCACACACTCTTTTAGAAACAATATTTAATACATTTAATTTAAATAGAGAAAATGCTTTTCTGTATCACTGAAAAAATATAGAAAAACCTGCTCATTGGTGTCGAATGCCCAATCCCTTACATCACCATCAAAGTTTCATGTTTTCTGACGTGTTGAGGCTCACGATGCTAATGCCTTTCATACTTCGAAAATTTTTAAAGCCCTATCATATTAGGACAGAGATATTAAACAATTGGAATATAAAGCAAAATTTAGCTATATCTAGGTTATGTACTTGTTGGGCAATTGAAGCCAAAGTATTAAAACTTGCATTCTCTCTTTCTATGACAAAAAAT